GATAAAAGTTCTGATATAAATTATTGTGCCTTCATTTGAATTAATGAAGGCACAAAAACAGCTGTCAACTGGTACAGTTAAATGAAATTAAAGCTTAGAAAATGTTGCATAATACGCAACCACTGCTGAAAATTGCTTTAGTTTCTAGTTGTTAAATAGAAATTAGATAACTCCTTCAAAATTTTGTGCTATCACAGGGTGAAATTACTTGCAACCTGGCCCGTTTCACAAAAAATTTTATTATTTTCTTAGCTCCTTTACAACTCTGAGAGAGTGAAATTAAGTCTGCATTCTGACCACAATCTTGTGTTGAACTAAAATTATTAAATTATTTAACTTTCTAAGAGTTTTTTCAATAAAGCTACCATTTAAAACTTTATGATTATTTTGTAATATAGCAAAGCACAAAAGAATTCTGTTGTTGCATCACATATAGAAGAAGAAAACTTAATTAGGTCATTTTCCTAAAAGTGGCTTCTTATTCAAATATGAGTGTTAGAAATAATGAAATAGAGAAATAAAACAGAAATTAGTGGTATGTAAAATTAGTTTTACTTCCAGGTAAACACATGGGAGCTTATTACAATGTGATGCCTCAACCTAAAATGCTGGACTACTATTCTTCATGTACTGACTAGAGCAATACACACAAAGACAAATATCTGCTGGAGGATAGGAGAAGAAAGATATTCTGTTCCCCTACTTCACATCTAGTAGAAATGTAAAGCCAAAACAGCTAAGAAAGCATGGTGTTGTGCAGTTAGGAAAGAAAGAATAATTTAAGCTCAAATAAATCCTGCAAGGAAAAAAAAGCAGGAGAGCAAAAGGTATTAACAACAATAGGTGACAATACTCATTAAGATGCTATACATCCAGAAGCATCACTCCTTTGTGTTAAGCATGATGAAATATCAACAATGTCCTCTACTGTTGAGCACAGATACTTTTCAGATGAGAACAGTTGGCTGGAACATGATTGTTGCAGCAGAAATGGCCATTGGTGTAAATGTTATTTCTGATTACTGACCACAGTAGTTCTTACAAATGACAGGCAAAAAATGTTGACACAGGTGTTTGACCTGATGTCATTGACAGTGTCAGCTGCAGTTCTGCTCATAAGAGTAAGACAAAAAAGAGGAGTGACAATGGTAGTGCATAAACCACTGTCATAATATGACAAAGTTTCAACTTTGGTATAATTCCTAGCCAACACTGTAAACTTAATGCCTTGTTCTGTCAATTCCTTGATATATCATGAGCAGTGTCTCAATTTTGTCTTTAATTTTCATGAAATAATAAGTTATTAACTTCTTACTCATTTCTCATTTGGGTATCAGATTAAGATTAAAAAAATAAAGACAACTAACCAGACATCACATTATTTAGTGCTCATGTACCATAAATAACAGTAATGTCTCTCACCATGAAGACTGCACCATTTGTCCTCTCCTTTCCTGAGAGCTGCTACAAATTTGGGGAGAGTGTGCAGGTTGACTCCTGGGCCACAGATGAAAATCTGCATTGCATGACTCATACATCACAAGAGCCTCTTTCTCTGCAAAAGGTGCTGCTCCTAATTTTTGTAGGTGTTTTTGAAGCATACATGATCACCTCCAGTTTTGTCTTCATGGATTATTTACATTGATGCTAGTCTAACTATGTAATCTAAGACATGAGCAGCGACAACCATGGGTAATGCCAGATGATGTCATACAAAATCCTTGACTTCTTACTATCAAAGCTTTCACAATTGTAAAACCGTTTGCCAGCAGTGATCCTGAAGAAGCCTGTAGGTTCATGAAGGTGCTATAAATAAATTTGCAGTTAAAACTAGTTCAAAGTTTTAAATACAAAGTTGTGTTTTATACATGGGATTTGAATTTTGAATATTTATTTTTATAGAGACAGTACTTTTGTAACTGCATGGTGTAGCTTTAGGTTTCTGTTGAATTTCAGTCTTTAACATAAAATTTCTAAATATAAGATTAAAATATGCTTAGTACAGATTTAACAACTTGACATGTTTAATAGATATTAAATATTAAATTTAAAATATTAGTGTTGCTATTCAAAAGATTCAGAAAAATTCAGTTTTAACCTTGAAAAATGGACATACAGTAATAACATCAGTCAAATTTTGCCAGTGTATTGGCCATCCAGTGAAAGAATCATCTAGATAAAGCTTGTTTCTCAGATGTTACTGGAGATTGCTAGCATCATTCTTCAAAGAGTAATGCATACTGACTTAGATCTGTTCTCATATAAAGGTTCACAGTAAAAATATAAAATTAAATCGCATCAATTCTCATGTAGTATTACATGATTATGACAGCTACAGGTTGGGCAGAGAAGAGATTCAGAGCGGCCCTGCAGAGAAGGACTTGGGGGTGTCAGCTGATGAGAAACTTAACATGAGCTGGCAGTGTGCGCTCACAGCCCAGAAAGCCAACCGTATCCTGGGCTGCATCAAAAGTGACCAGCAGGTCAAAGGAGGTGATCCTGCCCCTCTACTCTGCTCTCGTGAGACCTCACTTGGAGTATTGTGTGCAGTTCTGGTGTCCTCAACATAAAAAGGACATGGAACTGTTGGAACAAGTCCAGAGGAGGGCCACGAGGATGATCAGGGGACTGGAGTACCTCCCGTATGAAGAAAAAATAAAGGATTTAATGTCTTCTAGAGGTCAATGACTCATATATGAAGTTAAATGACTATTTTTCAGAGGTAGTATTCATCTGCTTTTCTTATAGACGTCTGAAGATTAAATACACCAAGTATTTTAATATCCAAAGTTTGGGACTAATAGTAGGTTTCAGGCATTTCACCCATTTGCATGACTTGTGGAGGCACTTATGGTGTATGGGATGTAACACTGAACAGAAGAAATCCATATTTTCAAGTGCTTGATAAAAAAGGTTGTGTTTGCAACTCAATTAAAAACAGCTGAAGGTGGGCCAGGAGCGTAACAGTGATTAACAACTCCATTTATGTTGTTAAACTATAATATATCAAGAAGAAACAGCTAGACAATCCTAGACTTTACAAGACTTCTGGATTCTGGGAAAAGAAAAGATTCACAACTTCAGTCAGTTTCTTTAAACAGTGCACTTTGCTCACTTGCACTATTAGAAAACCCAGGCTGAGTCTGGGTCAACATCCAACTGACCCTGTGCTTATGTATGGACTGACTCCAAACTAAGCAATGGAAGATGACTTTAGGTAAGATGCCTGAGCTACTGGAGGTAGAATGCAAAAAGAAGTGCTGGAAAACATGTGAACCAAAACTAGAATTATATTATGTATCCAAATCCAAGAAATTTCTCATAGGCTTTTCAGAGAAGTTATGTCAAATGCCGTACATCATTGAGATAGTAAACCTGCAGAAAGCCAGTATGGATTACATTTCTTGGATGTGTAAGCCCAAACCAGTCTCCTCCCTGAGATCTACCAGGGGGATTTTAAATTACAAGGAACTTCCAAGCCAACACAAATACAGTATCAGCATTGGTGTAGTGCCTATAAAACATTTGAGAAGCAAAAAAATAAACAAATAGCAAATGTGAAAAATCAAACGCATTAAAAGCTATATGACAACAAAGACACTGAAATTCACTATGAAACCATGTTGATTCAGAAGGATTAAAAAGATCAAGAAGAATAAATTAAAAGATATAAACTATATCCCACTAAAAATAAAATAAAAATGTCAAGAACATATTTTTATTTTATTGATAAATGGATACTTATATGTGATCAAGGAAATACTTCTTTATTTTTAAGATAAAGTGTAATAAATCAAAGCCACATGCAACACACATCTAGGAAAAAAAGAATTCACTGAAATTATAATTAAATAAATAAATCTGATTTATTTTTTCAAATGCAAATAACTAAGGTTCACTAATTTAGATTGCCATGTTTTAGTGACATGGTGGAAAGATGTCAATAGGAGCTCTCAAAGAATTTGTATTTTAGAATATAAATATATTTTACAATTTAAATTGGCTCTAAAAATATATTCATATTTAATACTGCATTTCCAGCTGATTCACTCTTGAGCAACTCACTGGAAGGGATGATGCTGCTTGTCAAATAACATTTTGAACCCCAGCTGATCTATATAAAAAGCTGTCTCCACCCCCATGGAGTTCCAGCAACAACCACCTGTACTTCAATATTCACAGTGATCTGTTTTGAAAGTTGCAAAAGCAGGGTCTTTAGCAATACTTCACATAAAGATAGGAGACAGAATAGAATTTCAATTCTAAGTTTGTTCATGTAGCAAATGTTGTGCTTCTTTTTCCAAGTTACAACACCAAACTCATGGATCACAATATTCTCTGTCAGAGCCTGTAATACACCACAGTATTTCAGGGGCAGCATGGCCTTTTCTAATCCTTTAGTGTTTGATGTTTACCTCTTCTTTTTAATATGAGATGACCATCACTGTAAAGTTCACTTTAAGATGTTATTTTCCTCCACCCTGACCAAATACCTAAGATGATTTGAGACAGCAGCAAGCATGCCACCAATACAGCTCCCTCATCTGTACTGCCATTTCTCTCAATACTTCTTGGCCTAGTAGAAAAAGGGGACATATCATACACCCTGCAAATATGACTTTAATCTTTATTCAACAGTTGCTGTATTGAGAGCACAAAATAAGATCTTCTATAATCTGATTTTTTTTTTTTTAAGAAATAAAAAATAGTTTAAAGTCTTTGTTCTGGAAACAAAGCAAATAAGGGAAAACAGAAATACCTTGTGCATATAAAATGGACCCCACTATTTTAAAGAAGACACACAACCAATTTTACAGTTCAAGATCTTGAAATGTGGATGTTTGACATTAGAAGACCTAGCATTTTATATCTACCTAGGATTTTATATTTACTTTCAGAAAGGAAGTGCTCCAAGTCAGGAATTTAGCCTTCAGGAAGAAGCATTGAGATCATGTAAATGGTTAGATGCACAGATTATTCTGTGCTTGTATAGTACACACCACATTGCAGTCTTGATCCTGACAAAGCCCCTGGACATTAGGATGATTCCAGATAATTGGAAAAATAAGGGGAGCACTAACAAAAAGAAGACCCCACTTGGAGTATTGCGTATAGTTCTGGTGTCCTAAACATAAAAAAGACATGGAAATGTTGGAACAAGTCCAGAGGAGAGTCACAAGGATGATCAGGGAACTGGAGCGCCTCCCATATGAAGATAGGCTGAGAAAGTTGGGGCTGTTCAGCCTGGAGAAGAGAAGGCTGCGTGGAGACCTCATAGCAGCCTTCCAGTATTTGAAGGGGGCCTGTAAGGGTGCTTGGGAGGGACTCATCATTAGGGACTACAGTGGTAGGATAAAGTGCAATGGGTTAAAACTTAAACAAGGGAAGTTTAGATTGGATATAAGGAAGAAGTTCTTTACTTTGAGGATAGCGAGGCACTGGAATGTTTTGCCCAAGGAAGTTACGAATGATCCATCCCTGGCAGTGTTCAAGGCCAGGTTGGAGGAAGTCTTGGGTGGCATGGTTTAGAACGAGGTGTCCCTGCCCATGGCAGGCAGGGCTTGGAACTTGATGATCTTAAGGTCCTTTCCAACCCTGATTATTCTATGATTCTATGAAAAAAGGGCATAAGCGGTGCTACTGACTGCTCATTAGCATCTGAACCCTGAGGGCAGGAAAACATCCATTTTAATTCCTTTTCCTTAGCTGTCTAATTTGTATCTAGTAGATTGTGTAAGTTGCAACTAGCTGGCAATAGATGTCAGCAGTAGAAGGCATGACCATGTCGCTTTGCAAATAGGAATGTGGGTAAGAAAAGGTATATCCTGCACTTTCATGGTTTTTACATCGATATAACAATACTTGTACTTACATTCTTACACTTGCTGAGAGGACTTGATTTTCTTTGCAAGAAATTTTCCATTAAGTGGTTATGCATGGAAAACATCAAACAGAAATGATAAAAAGCCAGATGAAGTGAGGATTAGGAGGCAGGATTAAAATTAAATAGCTACAAAAGCAGTAATGGTGACATATAAATAATGTACATTAAATCACACAATCAGCCAAATTCATCTGTGTTTTATCTGTACAAAATCATCCTAAGAGATGATGATAACTTGAACTGGAGATGTTCAAAAGAATTTATTGTTGAAAATTACAATCACATGTTTTGAGTCTTTTGAATAAAATCCCGAGGCAGATAATGTTGCACTTCAAGGAAGCAATAATGTAATTGCCAGCTACATCTCTTATCAATGCATTATTCAACTGTAGAACATATACCCGAAGACCTGACTCACAGTCATGAGTATGCAGGTGCCAAAAAAAATACAAATTGTTGCAGAAACTAGCCAGAACAGCACATCTGCAGGAGAAAAAGAATAAGCTGTTTATCTAGCAGTAGCCAGTACAAAAAGAGAAGTAGTATGTTAATTGATGGTAGGAATTTAGCAGGTCTGAAGCCAGTTTTTTACTGAAGATTTACATAGTGGAAAGAAGCATCTTTATCTGTGTGAAAAGGACTGCTGATGCCAGGAAATTCGACTGTCTGCTTCACAGGATTCATGAAAGTCTCCTGGACAACCAAAGTCTTGATTTTGCAGTCTTGAGCACTTTTTATATCTGTTTCTTAAAAAACACCACGTATGCTTGCTTGTGCATAATATGCTTGGTGCTCTGAAAGTAATAATCAGATAGTAAATAAATACAAGAGTGAGGAAACAAAAGAATAAGACCCTACATATAATAGGCTGTCTACTGCCTTTTATATAGCCAGAAATATTTCTCATGTCCACTGTGTTCCATGAGATGTTAATTCTCTGTGTCTAATCACTGCCCTGTTTGAATATCCTCTCGAGTCACCCTTTGCCCATTGCTACAAAAAAAACAAGAGAACCTTGTCTTCTCTTTTTTTGTGGAAGGAAAGTATGGTGCTCTCATGCAAATACAGAATATCTTGCAATGAGATGGTAAATAATTTGCAAATTTCTAGACTTTGAAAGGAACTCGTCACTTTTTAAGCTGTCAGTTTGAGAAACATTCAAGACTTTCATCTTGCAAATAATTGTAACCACTAGCACAACATGTAGTGCCAGGATACAACCTATTCCCTTTATCTCTATTCCTACATTACCTGTAAGAATTTTACTATCTTTTGAAGAGGCTTATTCTAAGTCACATGCTGAATTGTAAAATGAACCAAACATTTTCATTATGTTTTGTTGTTGTACCAGAAAATAAGCATTAAAAAATCATGGTCATTTTATTATTTTGAGCGGCGCATATATCTTCTGATTATAATTTCTATACTGAGATTCATATAACACAGGCGCTTTCTTCCTGAGTCTAGTGTATCTATTATAGCATATAAAATACTTAACTTTAATATTATGTCTAAAGGTTTGTAATGCATTTTAATGAAAGTGCTTTTTCTATCTCTAAAATCTTCCCAAATCAAAACGTCTGTATCCGTGTGCATTAAGCTGTATGGATATGAGTGAAACCATGCAACTAAAAGCAGGCAATATCTGTTTTCTCGAAACTTCCCCTAAAAATATCCCAAGATTTCTGACAGTTATGGAGGTTAGCCAAATTTCTGGGCAATGTCCAGTCCTGGTCTGCACTACTCCATGAGATAAGGTAACTTCTTAAAACTAGACCCCAAAATCCAGTATTTCTGGCCGAAATTAAGTCACCCTTTAAAACTCATTTGTCCAAATATTTTCAGACCTATTTTATGCTTCTGAGCAATTAAAGGGGCTTTTTACAGCTATTTTCTAAAATACCTGAGAGCAAATGGTCTGCTGCTAGAGCTCCACTAACTGCAATTTATACTGAAGCAACTACCCCCCCTCAATCAAGGTGGAATATTAACATGTCTAAGAGCTACAGTCTGGGGTAAGGAGAAAGCAGAACTGCACCACCAGAGGGTCTAATGAACAAAAGCTGCCAATTTATTCAGTGCTAGAAAAGAAATAGGTGAAATCTTTTAACACCATCACAAAAATCCCTCCAGAAGGCAACATAATGCACCTGTTTGCTTCATACATTCCTAGGAAATGCTATTGAATCAGGATATTCAAAATGAAAAGTTTTCTTATTTAGAACAACGAGAATATTTCAGGTGAGAACTGACCAAACACATATCAATATTTAAAGACAGTCTTTCTGCTAATTTCAAAGGACTTAGGCAGACTGTTCATAAGAAGAAACATGGAAATAGCTCCTTATACACTCACAGAAATACATATAAGTATGCATATATATATTTACATATGCATATAGCAGTTACACATATATGAAAGAAGAGTAGATGTAGGGAGAAATAGAGGGAGAGGGAGACAGAGAATCTCTGGATAGCATAAATGAACATTCAGGTTATCACTTATTGTTTTTTGTCTGATCTCATTAACACTCAGCTACACAAAATATTGAGCTAGATTTCAATCTCAGTCACTTTTACACAAGTTCATTGATGTAAGTTTTTAATAAAAAGATGTGAAGTCCAGAACAACTAATAATAGGAGCAGTAAGTTGGGCTGCTGGCTTGAGTACTCTGTATAACTGCACTTACTGCCCTGTATTGGCAGTATGAGGAGCTCTGGCAACTAGAAAAGGAGTTTGAGTTGGGTTTCTGTACTAAAACATGAACCCTTCCTACAGACCCTGAGGTGGAGCAGAACTTAGACTTACCCATACATAGTCGTGAAAAATGATAAAGACATACCCAATAACTCCAGGTGAAAGTGGTAGTCATAAATTGAGTCTTCATATGTTCTGACCCATAAACCACTCATCACTCTTTTTCATTTCTACTGTACAGGAAAATGAAGAAATCACAAGAGACAGCTTTTGGTTTGAATGCTCTTTTGCAGGGTCAGACTGATGACAGGAACATCTGGCAGTTGAAAGTGGCATACTTCTAATAGCTACCTAGGAGATGAGGTGTGAGAAGCACTATTACTCATCTGAGACCTAAAAAAATTAACTTGACATGACAGAAGAGAGAATCATAGCTTTTAATTGCATCCAGTTGTTACTTTGGAAATGAAATAACCAGCCTTACTGATGGCTTGATTATCTTATTGGGATCCTGTCATCTAGTAATCCATTTAACAATAAAATTGTTGATAGCCTGGTATTTAGTGTTTATCTCCTGTGTATTTTAAGGTTATTGAGTTATACTTGAAGACCAATCTCATCTGTAGTGTAAGTGACAAAGCACAAACTACATTACAGTTAATCTCTGTATAGTTATTGGAAAGAAGGCCAAATAGTGATATATTTATCAACCCCCCCCTTTTTGAATTTTTTGCAGGTGATGTATTTTCCACATTCACCAAAGCTATTTACTCCTGGCACACCATCTGTCAGAATAGAATCATCTTCAGTATCACTAAAATAGAAAGTTATATTTTCTAATCACCAATGAAGATGAATCACCGCAATGAACGAGCAGGAAAGAATGTCTGCCCTGACAAATTAATGCATGATCAGCCCAAATAAGTACTTTTCTTATCATGAATGTTTTCTGACCTCTTGGTGCCCTATAATTACACTTTAAATGAAGGAAAAATGCTGATACATTAAATAGAATAATATCATTTTTCTCCACCACTAATGGAACTTTTATCACCCTCTGACTGTCAAAATCAATTTTAAATTGTGGGACAGTAATCTTTAAAGTAGCATTCCTATCTGCAGAACATCTTATTTATTTTTCACTTTGTAAAATTCATGTATATCATGTTTTCTAAGACATCTGCAGCCATCTGAAAACCACACACAGTGGAACAAAACTAGGTGAGAATTCTGCCTAGCAAAGCCCTTAGTGTGCCTCAAAAGCACATGTTGCCTCAGTCCATCTCAGTCAAGGTCATTATGTTTATATCACCACCATATTTCCCAACATATCTCCTAGGTAACTCTAACCATGAAAAAGGTAGAGTAATAACTTTAGTACACAATGACACTATTTATGCAATTCATTTTAAAGTTGTGAATCCCAAACTCAGCTTCTGAAATTCTGCCATCTTTAAACGTGTCCACTAAAGCATAAGAAAAATCTTAGACTTATTGTTGGAACATTTAAGTCTCTTTGAGGAACATTTCCTGATATAGCACCTCATGTACAACTTTACCAAAGCAATTAGTTTCAGTACTTTGAATTAAAGCAATAGAGAGAGAGAGAACTTTTAGAAGGATGTATGAGTTGAAGTGACATTCTTCTTCTGGGAAAAAATGGCTTTAAAGAATATTGCGAAGATCACTGCTAATGTTGTGTTAATTACATC